CTGGATCACGAGGGCTTTACCTTCATCAGTGGATTGGTCCACTGATCAATGACCTTAATAGAAGGTTTGGGTCATCGAGGTTAGAGCAAGTAGGGAAGTGAGACAAGGTTTTAAAGGTATAGCTGGCCCTGACCCCTTCTCTCTCTCTCTGTCTTTCTGTTTCCTGGCCACCACGGGGTAAGCAGCTTCCCCTGCTGCACCGTCTTGCCTCTGTGATGACCCTCCCACATCCTTGCTCCCAGATCAATGGAAGCAGCCAACCTTGGCCTGAAACCATGAGCCCAAGGAAATATTTCCGTCTTTATTCTTCCTTTCTTTTAATGCATGCATGAAAGTGCATTTGCGTGTGGCACACATTTGAGGACCAAGGTTGGTGTCTTCAATATTCTTCAATTGCCTTTCCAGCTTATTCATTGAGGCAGGGTCTCTCAATCAAATACAGAGCTCACCGACATGGCTGCTTTAGCTAGCGAGCTTGCTGTAGAGATTCCCCGTGTCTGCCTTCTGAGCCTGAAATTACAGATGTGTCCTCATGCCCGCCCAGCATTTACTTGCAGCCTGAGTATTTGAACTCTGGTTTTCACACTTGCATGACAAACTCTTTAACCACCAAACCATTTCCCCAGCCCAATATATCCTGTTCAAGTTAGTATTTCTTGTCACAGCAGTAACAATCCAAGGCTCCATCTCTCAAGGGCTTCATTAATTACTAGTCACATCATCTTAGGGCCCAAACCTTTAACAAATGTGTCTTGGGGGACAGTCACCATCCAAATGATTGCAATGAGTTAAGAATTACAGAAAAGTTGCAGAGTTAGTACCCAGAGATCTCATACATCCTTCAAGCAGTTTCAGACAGCAGTAACAACTGAATGATCATCTGTACAACAATGTGTAAAATCAAGAAAATATAATAATGCATTAGTGGCTATCAACAAAACTCCAAACTTCATTTGGATTTCATAAGCTTTTCACCAATGTTTCTTTTCAATCCCCAAATCCAGTCTCTGATTGCACCTTGCATTTATTAATAGTTGTTATGTTTCCTTCCTCTCCTTTACTCTATGACAATCACTTGTCATAATTATTTTTCATGATCATACATTTTAGAAGATGGCCCATAAGATGGATCAGTGGGTGACAAGTAAAGATGCTTGTCACCAGACCTGATGACCTGAGTTTGATATCCAGGACCCACATGGTAGAAGGAGAAAACTTACTCCAGTAAGTTGTCCTCTAGCCAACATAGGCATACCATAGTACATACCCTCTCCTCCACAAATTAAATGTAATAAAAAAAAAATGTTAAGAGTGAGGTATACTAGTGGTTGCTCATACATTTTGGAAGATGGTATCAGCTGTTTTGTAGAATGCATCTTAAATTTTTTCTACCTCAAATCCTCCTGAGTATGCTGAGGCAATATATTTTTCTCAAGAATATCACAGAAGCAGTATAGCCATCCCAATTCAGCATGCATGAAGCCAGATATGTCTTAGTACTCGTGATGTTAGCCTTGATCCATTAGGCATGATAAGATCTGTTGATTTTCTCCACTGTAAAATTACATTTTTCCATTTTGAAAGTCAAAAATATGTTGATAGAAAGATGTTCTTCTTTCTTCTCAATCTCTGACTCACTAATTTTAGGATTCATCAAGATCACTTCTTTTAAAGGTTTATGTGCATGTGTGTGTGCCTGTGTGTGGATGTGTGCAAATGCCCATGGACACCGGAAAAAGGTATTGGGTTCCCTGGAGCTGGTGTTACAGACAGTTTCGAACCACCTAACATGGAACCAAACCCAGATCTTCCTCAAGAGTGGTACATGCTCTTAACTGCTGAACCAGCCCCAGATTCCTCAGATCTTAACCACAGCCATTATTACCACCCTGCCATTCTGCATGTTCTTTATTCTTACTGCCACTTAGAATTCATCTGCAGTAGACAGCTATTTCTCGGGTCTCACTAACAGTGTATTTGTTTATTTTTATCAGATTTTCAAAAGCATTTTGGCTATTTCTGAAGCCAATGCCCCCTCCCTTTGTGACTTGAACTGTCTCAGCTTTAATAACTTGGGATTCTCTCGGGTTAGGCTTCTAGGCCATTTTGGCCTAACCTCTGGTTCTTATTTTGTTTTTGTTTTTGTTTGTTGTTTTTAAGTAATTCCTAAGCCTTGTAAGGCATTCCAGGCTCTTACCATGTCCCATCTCAAAGTCCTGGAGTCAATCAAATGCTTCTCCCAGGAACTCTGATTTTCTTTGTTGAGAGTTTAGAAGTAAAAGTCTGGACACTGAGCATTGTTATTGTAAAGCAGCTCAGAAACCAGAGCTTGGGGACACATCTATGTACAAACATTTGCATAGGTACAAATAAAAGTCTGTGGATCTTTTTTGAAGATGTGAGCCTATATTGACAACTCTGATGCACAGCAATTCCCACAGGCTTCTTTTGAATAGAAGCATCCATTTTCTTTCTTGTCACTGTTCTGTCAGGTTCTTTCAAGGACAAGTCTGTCTCTTTCTGGGTAAAGTCATTCAGATCTCAGGTTGCTATTCCTGTTTTTGGATTGAAGTTTGAGATCTTGAGAGCCGTTTTCCGAGTTCCATTTCCTTCCCTTGGCTGTGTTTTGTTGTTTTTGTTTGTTTCTGTTTTTGTTTTGCCTTCTACTGGGATAATTGAACATTTTTACTCTTATTATTTCATTTAATCTCCATAATGTCTTGTTATCAATTCCTCTTTTTAAAAAAGTAATATTAGTAGTTCCCAACTAAGGATTACTAAGGAAAATAGGTGTTGTAGTGGTTTGAATGAGAATTTCCCATGCTCTCAGATATTTATATAATTGGTCCCCAGTCAGAGGAGGCACTGACTGGGGAGGTTGAGAAGGTGCAGCCTTGCTAGAGGAAGCGAGTCACTTGAGGCTGGCTTGGAGCGCTCTCCGCACTGGTGGTTGAGGATGTTTTCTGTCAACTTTCTGCTGCTGCCACTATGCCTGTAGCATGCTGCCACTCCTTCCTCCTATGATGGCCTCTTATTCCTCGGAAACCCTAACTAAAATAAACTTTCTTCCATGAGTTGCTCTTGGTCATGATGCTCTATCACGGCAACAGGAAGGTGACAAATACTATTGTTCTGCTCTGTTGTTTAGAGTAACACAAGAAAAAGTGTCTGCACGTGTTTGGTACAGATATAGTTTTTGTTTCAAAATTTTTCATCATTGGTCAGTTGAACCCAGAGTGAGAGAACCAATGGATGTGGAAGGCTGGCTGTACTTACTTTAACTTAACTTTTAACTTACTTTTATCTGATTTGCTTTTGCCAGTTGTTCTAGTTTCTTCCTTCCTTCCTTTCTTTTTAACCTTTTTATTTTATGCATATGGGCGTTTTGCTTATATGTCTGTATACTATGTGAGTGCAATACCCATGAAGGCCAGAAGAAGGCACCAGATCTCCCAGGCTGGAGTTGGAAATGGCTGTAAGCTATCATGTGGGCGCTGGGAATTGAACCTGAGTTCTCTGAAAGAACAGCCAATGGTCTTAACCACTGAACCATCTCTCCAGTCTCTGAATTTGTTTTCTTATACTGATATTTGTAGAAATCTTGGAGTGGAATATTTTAGAACTATTTCTTGTCAAGAAAAAACTTCCCCTTTAGACCCAGAGTTGTACATAATGTCTTGGTGTCTGGATGACCCTCTTGAATTGGACCTGCAGAAATCACACTTCATATCCCTCTATGGGCATGATATTGGTTTTGCAAGTTAGAATTCGTGAATATGCCCCAAGCACAGGCTTCAGTTTTCCTTGATTTGGAGATAGTAATCCCTTGATCTACAAAAGCCAAGTACTTTACTTGCTCATGGATGGCTGATTGCAGATAAGAATGTACAGAGGAAGTCACATTCCTGAAGATATAAATAGCCCACACCACTTTTTAAGAAGCATGATTCTCTGCCTCAGCTATAGTAAAAGACTGAAGGTTCTGAATTATACCACATTTCCACATTCCAGGAGAATCAGAGCCTGGCTTCATAGTGCAGGTCTACAATCCCAAGTACTTGGGAGACTGAGGCAAGAGGATCACAAAATAAAATGAGCCTGGTTATAGAGAGAGTTAGTTCAAGGCCAGCTTGAGCAACATAGCATTGTATCAAAACAAACAAGTAGACCAGCATGTGCAAGGCTCTGTGTTTAATCCCTAACACTGAATCAAAAAGAAAGAAAAGAGAGAAGTTGGTAGGGAAGGCAGAAAGGAAAGGGGACAAACTGGCCGGGAGGCAGGGCAGGGAGGGAGGAAATCTGTCTCCTAAACAATCAAATCTGTGTGTGAAAACTGTTAATTAGATCTTTGCACAGGTTTCCATTGGTTAGAATGGAATCAGATATTTGTAAACCCATGCCCAGGAACATTGCTCATGTAGCTGGTCCCAAAGTCAAGAATTCAGCTAGACACTGGCTGCCTACAGGTGTGGAAAGGCAGCCTGACATCAGAAGATACCAGAGAACTACTAAGGTCATCCATCACTCTATACTCAGCATATAAACTATAGCCTCCTCTGCTTAGAAAGGGCATGAAGAAACAAAGCAGATGAACACAGGCATACTGGACATCGGGTACACCTGGACCTTGGCTGCTAACCAAGAAAGAGTTCTGAGGAGACAGCATATGTATGCCAACAGTCGTGCATGCCATAGTCACAGAAGCATCAGGTGCCTTCAGGCCTAAAGAACATATAGTCAACCACGTAACATTTTGCATTCTGCAGCAGTTGGCAGTCATGGGTGGTAGCTTCTGTTCAGATCAGTTCTATTCTTGACCCTAGAAAAGATATCATTTCCTCCAAAAGAGCACCATACAGTACTACCATCTACCACCTCCGAAGCATGACCTCAGGGATGTCCTGGAGCTGTTCCAGGGTGACCTGTCAGTCTGGGTTTTGGTTTTGGTTCTTTGGTGAGTAAACATGTGATTTACAGCTGATCCTTTTATATCTTGACAGATGAGAGGCCCTGACACTTGACAGTCATCAGGTGAGGAGCCAATAGAAATCTACAGCATCATGAACTTCTAGGGCATGGTCCTGAAATGTGTGTCCTTGGTCTGAATGTCATCTGACTCACTGCAGTGTGGTAAGTGGGGTGTGACCATGAACTCTGATATGTCAACTCATACCTTATTGATGCCACGGTACAACTTTGTCAAATGAGTCATAGAACTCACATAAACCAGAATACAAAAGCTTCATGGGTAACTCCAGGAAGGATCTGGTCTGAGGTCCAGAGAGTGCATCTGGTGAGGACTTTCTTGTTGGCAGCACAGAACATCACTTGGCAAGAGACAAGAACAATACTTTTCTTAATTAATGAACATTTAAATAATATTCTACTTCCTATGCAACATAAGGATTTCAAGATGGTTTTCTTGACTTACCCCATTGCGTTCTTCTGGCCTTTGCTGTTATACATCTGACCTTTGCATGCACTAGTCACACTGGGTGGCACCTGCTATATTTGCTTTATAAAACTGTTTATCTTTTAGAGGAATTGAAAGTACAAGAAGTCAATTCTACTTCACTTTTCTTCATTTTCACAATCATTTCTTTGTACAGAATTAACTTGACTGCTGGTTTCGTATTCCTTCATGATAAAGAACTCCTGGTAAAGAATTATGTCTTGGCTTATATTAAAAAGAAAACATTTCTACTCCACTTTTAAAAGTCATATTGCGAAGGCGCTGGACCCCATTGATTTTTTCTAAGCCTTTAAAGATTTCGTCTTGTTGCTCGGTTCCTGGCAGGCGGCCATAATTCTTATTACAGCTAATATGATCTTCTTCTCTGGTTGTCTTTGGAAAATGTCTCTTTGTCTTTCATTTTTCAATAGTTGGAATGCTGTTCACCTTTCTGCAATTTTTATTGAGATAGAGTTTCTCTGTGCAGCCCTGGCTATCCTGGAACTTGCTACATAGACCAGGATGGACACAAACTCACATAGGTCCACTTGACTCAGCCTCCCGAGTACCTGAATTAAAAGTGTGTGCCACCATGTCCAGCCAGCCTATTTTTCTTGTTATGGACTTTGCCATATGATAACAGTGATTTTTAAAACAAATTCTGAGAGAAAATTCCCATATCAATGCCATGTATGGGACAGTTATTTGTCCCACAACATAGGAATGTGGCACTTTGTCCTCTGCCTTTTGACATGTTTCATTTGGGGGTTGAAATTGGCACATTCTGTACACAATAGTACAGATTTGAGTAGATTACTATTGTGTGATCATTGAGCATCCTTCCTCTCTCTGTTTCTGCCTCCTTCCTTCCTTCCTTCTTCCTTCCTTCTGGCCGCTCGCCATGCTGTCTTGTAGTACGGATCTCTCCTGATCTTGTTTTCAGCTGCCCCTCCCTCTTCACGGGGCTCCTCTCCAGGTTTTATTTTCATTTTTTATTACATTTGTGTGTGTGTTTCTGTGTGTGTGTGTCTGTCTGTGTATGTCTGTGTGTGCACCCACGTGTACATATGTGGATGTGTAGAGGTCAGAGGGTGACTTTCAGGAATTGGTTCTCTCCTTCCACCTGGGGATTGAACTCAGGTTGGCAGTCTCAGTCACAGATATTTTTACTTCCTGAAAAATCACACTAACAATCCTCTCTGGAATTTGAAGAGAACCCTCTCTCTTCCTTTGGAACTCTGTCTCCTTCCTTTCCAATTGCTCTCCCACCTCAAGGCTCCATGGTTACAAGGCTCTCTCTCCCAACAAGCTCACTTCTGAAGGGTAATTTTTTGTCAGCTCCTTTCCTAAACCAAACAGTTATGCTCTGAGTGGACATGGGCTTCCTATGCTAGGTCCTTACTATGGGGAATTGTGTTAATTTATATAGGAATCGGGCTGGGTTTAAAGTTTACGGTTACTGTGCTTGCCCTCAACGTACCAAAGTCTTCAATTCCTTGTCCATCTGTAATGTTTGGAGTCAGGGCTACTTTGCCATAGAGGTTTTCTCTGCTTCACTCACACCTCTGGATCATTCTAAAGCCTTTTCTGAAAGGTAGCGCTATGTGTTAGAAGAGGGTTTGGTGATTTGAAAGAAAATGGCCCCCAGGGGGAGTGGCACTATTAGGAGGTATGACTTTGTGGGAGTAGGTGTGACCTTATTGGAGGAGGTGTGACATCGTGGGGGTGAGCTTTGAGGTCTCCTGTGCTCAAGCTACTCCCAGTGAGATAGTCTATTTCCTGTTACTTGCATATCAAGATGCAGCAGTTCCTTCTCCAGTACCATGTCTGCCTGCATGCTGCCATGCTCTCTGCCATGATGATAATGGACTGAACCTCTGAAACTGTAAGCCACCATCTCAATTAAATGTTTGCCTTTGTAAGAGTGGCTGTGGCCCTGGCATGTTCCTGACTGTGCTGACACACTCCTTGAATCCCAGGACTCAGGAGGCAGAGGTAATGGATCTCTGTGAGTTCAAGGCCAGCCTGGTATACAAAGCAAGTTCAGGATAGCCAGAGAAACCCTATCTTGAAAACTAAAAAAAAAAAAGTAATGGTGGTCATGGTGTTTCTCACAGCAATAAACCCTAAACAAGGATCATTCATTTTCAATGCCAGAAAATCTCTATGATAATCAAACTTTTAGTCATGTTAAGTTTTCTAGGTATACATAGATATAATTCAGTGAGGTAGGTAATCTTCAAACACCTACAAAGACCTACAGAATATGGCATTTAAAATGTTTTAAAAACTTAAGACTTAGACAATGAGACACATCTGCTCCTGGCAGCACCAAACACTTCAAGGAAGATGATGGGTATTGAAGAAACTCATTATGGAGTTCACTTTCTTTGTAGTAAAAGTAGCCACTGGACAAAAAAGTGCCCTTTCATCAACTGATTGACAGTATGTTATATAAATTGGACATGCAGGACCCATAGGAAGGTGACCACTGAACTTTGCAAGACAAGATGGTCCTTCAGGTTCCTGCTTCACAGAGGAGACTGCCAAATATTCTACAGGACACAGAAAGAAGCGACTGAGAGACTCTAGGCCTGTAGGCTGAAGAATGGATGCCCCAACATTACAGAAGAACTTTGGGTGACTGTCCAGGCAGCCAGCTGTCTCTGTCATTCTCGATTTTTGGAAGTTGCTTACAATGCTCTTCCTGTTTACTTAGGTAATATTATATCCTTCTGAGGTCTTTAATGTAGTTGAAGACTAGATAGTTATAATTTTCTTTGGTTATGATAAAAGATGAATTAGGGGCTGGAGAGATGGCTCAGAGGTTAAGAGCACTGGCTGTTCTTCCAGAGGTCCTGAGTTCAATTCCCAGCAACCACATGGTGGCTTACAACCATCTACAATGAGATCTGGTGCCCTCTTCTGGCCTGCAGACAGAACACTCACAGTATACATAATAAATAAATAAATCTTTAAAAAAAAAAGATGAATTAGATATGAAACTTTAGACTCACAAATATAAGATAGAATATTTTCTTTAATTTTGCAAAATAAAAATAGACTAAATATTGTAACTATAATTCTTGCTTGATAACTGCTATATATAAATTTGTTATATATAAATTTACTATGTTGAAGTTAAAACCTTCCTTTTAAATAGAAAGAAAAGGGGAAATGATGGGTATGTTGTTCTGTATGCTGTGAACATATGTTGCTCTGATTGGTTGACAAGTAAAGCTGTTTGGCCAATGGTGAGGCAGAATAAGGTTAGGTGGGACATTCTAACTAGAGAGAGAGGAAGGAGAAAGACAGAGCAGAGAAGATGCTGCCAGCCACCACCATGAGAAGCAAGATGTAAAAGTACTGATAAGCCACAAGTCATGTGGCAAAATATAGATTTATAGAAATGGGTTAATTTAAGATGTAAGAGCTAGCTAGTGAGAAGCCTGCCATGGCCAAAGTTTAAAAATAACATAAGCCTCTGTGTGTTTACTTGAGTCTGAACAGCTGCGGGACCGAGGGGCCATGGGAGCCTGGCAGGACCAGAAGAAAAACTTCAGCTACACTTTACACATTTGAAAATCTGCCTGAAATTTGTGAAAGAGAGCTAACAGTCTTCTCCCTGGACTCCCAGCATTTCTGTATTAGTTGTTACTGCTGTGATGAAATGCTCACCACCAAGAACTCAAAGGCCAAAAGTGCTGTGGGATAATGTTTTTGTACACTGGTTTAATAAAATGCTGATTGGCCAGTAGCCAGGCAGGAAGGATAGGTGGGATAAGCAGACAAGGAGAATTCTGGGAAGAGGAAGGCTGAGTCAGGAGACATCAGCCTGCCCTCCAGGGAGCAGCATGTAATGGCACATAAGTAAAGCCACGGAACACTTGGCAACATGTACATTAACAGAAATGGGCTGAGTTTAAATCTAAGAGCTAGTCAGGGGTAGGTCTGAGGTAATGGCCAAGCAGTTTTAATTAATATAAGCCTTTGTGTGTTTAATTGGGTCTGAGCAGCTGCAGACCGGGTGGGACATAGGAAAACTTCAGCTACACAAAAGGTTTCTTTTAGCAGATTGGTCCATGTTCTCTTGGTTCCATGTGTCTGAGCATGGTGGAAGGCAGCACACGAAGGCAGAGGAGCTTCTACATGGCTTGTAAAAAGCAGAGAAGAGGAGGGTTTACACAGGAGGGTCTAGGGCACAATATAGCCATAAGGATGCAGAGAGACTGAGAGACTTTTAAGCATAGTGGAAGTGAATAAGCAGTCCCTGGAACCTGCCTGAACCTGGTCACATCACGTAAATTTGAGTGTAGAAAATGCTCAGAGAGCCAGAGACCACAAGAACATGAACCTTGGACTCACCCTGGTTTAGAACTCACTGGATGATCTTGGTAAATGATTTAAACTCTCTTGTAGATGTAACCAACCTTCTTATTAAATAAGAAACACAGAACCAATGCAAAGAAGAAAGCCAAGAGGTCAGAGCTAAGAGCTAAAACCTTACCCTTCCTCCTGCGGTGGTCCTACCTCTCCGAACCAGAGCTACCCCTGTGTTAAAGTCTTTATATAGAGTTCCTGTCCTGCCTTCTCATTGGATGTAAACCCAACCACATGACCTCCTCCTCACAGCCTGTCTGTATAGGCCTCCAGGTTTTCCATGATTGGTATTGAGATTAAAGGCATGTGTATCCAATAATGGCTGTATCCCTGAACACACAGAGACTTACCCAGCTCTGCCTACCAAGTGCTGGGATTACAAGAGTACACCACCACTGCCCTGCTTTCCTATGGCTTGCTAATAGCTCTAACCCCCAGGCAACTTTATTTATTAACATACAAATAACATTTTAATACAAATAAAATATCACCACTCTCTCTTTACTCATTCTCTCTTTACTCAAGTTCATGAAGACAGGAAGTCCTAGTATGCCTGTCTCGTAAAACAAAGTCAATACACATAAAGTAACAATGTCTCCGTGGAAAGAACCCATTAAAATCTGTGAATCCATGTGACTCAGAGAGGCTGTGGTCTTGGCAAGTTACCACCACCTGGCTTCCCAGAAACAGCTGAACCAAACCCTTCCCAAATATTTTCCTTCCCAATAGACTCCTTTAGAATAATCTCCAATTGAGAGACTCAGACCAAGCCACATAAAGTTAAAACAGTTTTTTTCAAAAGCCTTGGTATGGAAAAAAAAAAGTAATGTTATGCTCATTTGATAGCACATGACTAACGATGCTGAAAAGTCAGGATTTTCTTTTGGAAAGAGGACTTAAGTCTAACTTGTCTGGTTTTATGTTTTTGTTTGTTGTTGTTTTTAAGATTAGACAGTGAAAGCAGGAAGATCTGGAGTTTGAGGCTAGCCAGGGCTACATGAGACTCTACAAAAACCATCAAGGAGAAGTGGAGGTTGGTGATGTGTTCAAACACACATAAGCTCTTATAAAGGGTAAGGAAAGCAAGACGTATAAAGCTCCCTCCCCCCCCCCCCCCGGGACCAACTGCTGTCTCCTGTGGGCCTGATGCATGTGTCCAAGGCACCTATTCTTCCTGGGACTCTTTCTATCAGAAAAAGAACACAGATCCTAGGTGGATTCGAACCGTGACTGCCATACTATTAATCTGAGATGTAATCAACATTACTGTTTTCACTATATCAATCACATTCAAGGTGGTTTCCCTTCAATTCCTGTTTTACATAGTGTACTGTTCACAGAATAATGTGCATTTTCATCTTGGTAACTGGGTCTTGACAGCAAGGCTCAGGTAGAAACTCCCAAGTTCAAGTTACTATGGGAGTATTACCACCTGCTTATCAGACTTAGAGCCCTGGTGTCTTCGTCTGTTGCAAGGATATTTGAGTATGATGCAGATTATTCTGCCCCTCGTTTCAGCCTCTGCTTGACTTGGTCACTGTGGTTTTGCCATCCAGATTCCCCCTTAGGGTGAAGGGTGTGAATCCCACTGAAAAGTAGCCTCTACTATATGCTCTGCAGCTTGTGTCTGTGATGTGTTTTGGTGCAGGAAGGCCATACAGTGGTAGCACCCTACCGGCCACAGAAGGAGCCTCCCCACCAAGCTCACCCAGTTCTTAGAAATGAGACCAAACCAGGCCTTTATGTTAAAGGTATGAAAACCAGGAGTAGAGTGGGTAAGGGGCAATATTTATTCTCTGGTGCTAGCTCTTTTTGTGTATAAACTAGAATTCTGGGGCAAAGGGTGATTCTAAGAAGTTTTGAGGGGTAGAAAGTTTTATAAGGATGGTGTTCAACAATAGGATTAGTCTTTACTTATATTCCTGGGCTGGTACCCAAGATCTGTACTGCTGAGCAGTAACCTCACCCAGCTAATCTAACCTGCAAAAGATAGGTCAGGTTTCATATCAAAGTCAAATGATCATATAAATGAAGGGGAACTGGCTAAAGCTTCATGGTTTATTTTTTTTTTAAGGAATAGGTAAGAGTTTTAAAGTAATTCTCTTTAAGGTTGAGAGGTTCAGGAAAAACTGGTGATAAAGAAAGGGACCACATGAAGGCTGGTAGAGCACTTTCTATTAGACATTGCCATGGTTTGAAGTGAAGTGTTCGGTCTGCTCTTTGTGGTTGAGAGGAGAGAAAAGAGAATCTGGGAGGTGGTATAACCTGGAGGATCCACCTAGATGTGAGTGTCCTGCCCACTTCAGGTTCATGGTATCTTAGCTGTTGGTGGGCTCCAAACTGAGAGCTAATGGGATGACAGAGGCTGGGGGACAGCAGGGACAACCAGGAGGGCCAAGATGTCACCTGAGAATAACTTAAGTGAGAGCAAAGTAATCAGGAGCCATGAGTGTGCCACACCTGTGTGTGATTTCCTTTCTGTTTCATTATGTGATGAGTTTCTGTGATTCTCTCATAGGACAATTTGAACCATGAAAACGATGACCAGTCGTAAGTCACTGTGGGTGCTGCTGTTTATAGCTATCTTCTGGGTCTCATTTACAGTTTTCAGAAACCCATCAAAGGTAAGGAACTACTCTCTTTTTCTGTTTTACTTGATATTGTGTATCTAGGAAAGTGTAAGTTGCAAAGACCCACCAACTGGAACGGAGATGGGGTGTGCTCAATATGGCTTATCAAGCAACATTAACAAACCAACATAACCGACACTTGTTAAGCACAGCAACAAGTGAGGAACGTCCCAAACCTCTCATGTATGAGGTGGGAACCCAGGGCAGAGGGTGCTTCTCAGAGACAGGAAAGCCAGAGGGAGGGCAGGCATTATAGGCAGCCATTCCCGTGTGTGCTTACACAGACACGGTTCTGTGCTGCTTGTGGATAAGTGCAGCCATTGTTTGACAATGTCCTCAGCCTGTGTTTGCACCGGCCTTAAGGAAACTTCTGTAGGACAGAACACATTCAGTTCTATGTTCTGAAATGGACCTGCCTCTTGAAAACTGTGGAGAATTACGAGTGGGAAACATTTCCCTCCTCCAGTACCAGGCAGTCTAAGTATCTAATCAAACTTTTACTTCATTGCAGCGTTTAAGGCTGACATTTTGTTTAGTTAGTGTTGGCTTTGTTGTTTGTTTTCTCTATTTCATTGGTTGCTTCTCTGCTATGGAGTAGGCCTTTAGTTGGTGGTAGTGGTTAGTTGCTTTTATTTGTTTGCAGAACTTGGTTTTTGTTTTTGTGATACATGGATTCACTCTGTAGCATAGGTTAGCCCTTCTCTCGTTGTACAGCTCAAGCTTAGCCTCAAACTTGCAGTTGTCCTGATTCAGCTTTCACTGCTTTTTGAGAGCTATTTATTAAAAATACTCTTTTTTATGTTTTTTTTTTTTTAGACAGGGTTTCTCTGTGTAGCTTTGCGCCTTTCCTGGAACTCACTCTGTAGCCAAGGCTGGCCTTGAACTCACAGAGATCCCCCTGGCTCTGCCTCCCAAGTGCTGGGATTAAAGGCAGGCGCCACCACCGCCCGGCCTATTAAAAATATTCTTGTTCACAGTTTATTATTATTATCTACACAAGAATTGGGTTCATGCAAGCTACTTTGCGCTTCCTTTAGTGATTGATAACAATGATCCATCTTATTATTACTTCATTGGACATGCTAGGATACTTTTAAATATCTTTTCAAGTCATAGAGACAGTCCCACTTGCCATGAGTCCAATGCCTTTCTGAAGTTTCCCATGTGTCCTAGTTAGGATTTCTATGGATGTGATGAAACACTATGACCAAAAACAGCTTGGGAAGGAAAGGGTTTATTTGTCTTATATTTCTATATCATAGACCCTCATTGAAGGAAGTCAGGACAGGAACTCAAAGAGAGCAGGAACCTGGACTCAGGAGCTGATTAAGAAGTCATGGAGGAGTGCCGCTTACTGCCTTGCTCCTTCTCGCTTACAGCACCCAGGACCACTAGCCCATGGGTGGCTCCACCCACAATGAGCTGAGCACTTGCACATCAATCAATAGTGAAGAGAATGCCCTACAGACTTGAGCACAGCCCAATTGTATGGGGAACTTTCTAAATGGAGGCTCCCTCATTTCTGATAACTATAGCTTATGTAAAGTTCACATAAAATTAGCCAGCACACCATATTATTCCATAATACTCACAATAACCATTCAAGGTACATAATTATGACATGATAGTTGATAAAACTGATTTACAGTTATCTGATTGCAGTACCTATAGAGGCCAGAAGATGACGTCAGATCACCTGGAGCTGGAGTTACAGGTGGTTGTTACCCAATGGCAATTGAACTCAGGGTCTCCTTAGGAACAGCAAGCACTCTTAACTGCTCAGCCCTCTCCATCGCCATATCACCACCATTTGGGAGAAGATCCGAGCAAGGGCTATTGGAGATTCAATGGGTTTTCCAAAATAAGTCATTGAAAACCAGAGTTATACTGACAGTTTAAATAAAGACATCTCTGTGTGAAACATATGTGACCACAAAATCTAAGTGTAATGTGATTTCTACACCTCTCAGTGTTCTATAAAAGACAAAAGTCGGTTAACCTGCCAAGACTTTTTACATTAAATAGCAACTTTTTCTTTGTTCTCTATTCTATTTCTTGCCCATTCAGATATGGGTTCACTTCAAGTTGCCTGTGTCCTTCAGTCACCAGAATTTGGTCACAACATCCTCATGCCCTACAGTGCCTCTGAACCTACCAGTTGCACCAAAAGGGACAGAGCTGAGAGTCAGGGAGGTCCTAGAGAAACTAGACAAACAGATCCCGCCCAGGCCTTTTGCCCATCTCAACACCACCACCAGCGCCACTCACAGCACAGCCACCATCCTCAACCCTCGAGACACACACTGCATGGGGGAAAAACTGGATGTGCTGTTGGAAGCCAGGGACCACCTGGGACGCAGGAAGGAGTATGGTGGAGACTTCCTGAGGGCCAGGATGTCCTCCCCAGCCCTGAAGGCAGGAGCTTCTGGAAAGGTGACAGACTTCAACAATGGCACCTACCTTGTCAGCTTCACTCTGTTCTGGGAAGGCCCGGTCTCCCTGTCTATCCTGCTCATGCATCCCAGTGAAGGAGTGTCAGCTCTCTGGAGAGCAAGGAAACAGGGCTACGACAGAATCATCTTCACTGGCTGGTATGTAAATGGAACCTCTCAGGTCCACACTGAGTGTGCCTTGGTTCTAAACTCAAGTGTCGAACTCTGCCGATATCTGGACGCCCAGTACCAAGAAGCATTCTACTGTGTGAAGCCTCCAAATGTACCCTGTGCGGCTCTTACCCACATGCATTCGAAGAACAAAGAAGTTTCCTATCTTAGGCAGCAAGAGAGGAGCCTCTTTGAAAGGTAAATATTATTGTTTCACATTTCTGGGGAGAAATGGCTAATCTAGGATGCAGGGAATGTATTCTAAGCACTGTAACTTAGGGACTCTGTAAGAAGAGTCCTTTGAGAGGGGACCTGTGAATTCATTTGGGGACAGTGTTCAATCTCCAGGGGTCCTCAGACATTTGTGATAAGTAATACTTATCAATGAACCTAAAAAACGCAGGTTGACTAAGAACAAAAGGAAAAAGAACTGTATGTGTATGTGTGTGTGTGTTCTAATCATTCTTTCTGTGTCTCAATACACTGCCTTGCATACATACCTTCTGGGTCCCTGGCTCCTATGAACTATGAAACAAATAAATGGAAACTTACTGAATGACCTGAAATTCTAGGCAGGGAATTAGATTATCACTGAGAAGTAGCAGAAGGATTGGCCAATCTGGGTTCTGGAACTATGCTTGAGTTGAGGTCACTGCAGATTAATTGCTGTATCTGTCTCTTTAAGGTCAAATATAGGTGTGGAGATTATGGGAAAATCCAATGTGATTAGTGTCTCCAAATGCAACAGTAAGTGGTTCTGTGCTTGGCGGGCGGTGCTTAACACTAGACCCATTTAAAGGGCCTTCTCTCTCTGCTGGACTTGGTCATTGTCTCGGGTCTCATAAGGTGGGCCAAGGCACAAAGTCCGTATGTGAATGAATGTTTGAATTCACTAGGATCTTTCGTGCCTGCTTTAGTACCCACATCTCTCAGCAATCATCTCCTCAGGTAGAAGGTCATCTGCCCATCTTACACAACAACCTACAAAAAACAAAACTCTCTCCCAAGTCTTTACCTAGTTCTTCATCCCCACCACCACCGTCTCCTGCCGTCTTCACAGCCTCCCTAGAATTATCACTTAGACATCTCCAATGTGCCATCTAGGAGTCAATTTACAACCATTTCTTTTTACAAAGGACTTCACATGCGTATCCGCTAGTCTCTCTCTCTCTCTCACATTCGATTTTTTTTTCCTTCTCTGAAGAGCTCATAAATACCACCTAAAATGATTTCAGGCAACTGGATCTAAATTCATCATAGAAAGTTTGCTAATTGCTAAGACGGTTTTCCACATAGAAGGAAAAACACTTTTCTGATTGCAGAAGTGATGTGTAGTGTAGTGCTTTCCCAGCATGCATAAAGCTCTAGGCTTGTCCACGAGCATCACATAAACACACACCCATAATTTCCTAACTCCAGAAGTGGAAACAGGAAGATGAGGAGTTCAAGGCCATCCTCACCTACATACCAAGTTGAAGAAAAACCTGGACTACATGAGACCCTGTCTCAAAGACAGACTTAGAGAGGAAGAGGGATAGGAATGGTATTTCTTTTGTCCCATACATATCAGAACCTTCATAGTAGTTGTTAAAATATTACTTTACCGTTTGGGAGTAATGAACAATTGTGACCCCAAATCTGTTGCCACACCATCCTACCCACCCACACACCCACACCTTCCCAGGTCTCTTTATTACCCAGAGACTAAAGTTGAAGATCTGGGCCTTCTTAGACCTCCAGGCCTCTCTCAATGCAAATTGGCCAATTTATAGCCAAGTTCACCCTGCATTTATCTCAAAGCGTTCATACTTGCATGGTGACATTTTAGACACCATGAGAGCATGTGACAAGCTCAAGTGGAATAACACTCTCAGATTGAAGAGCTCTCGCCCTATATAAGAATTGATGAGGCTGGTCTCATGGCAGGGCTAACAAATAGTTAAATTTTAGTTGAAGGCCTTTTTTATTCTGAGAGGAAAAACCCCATGTACTTTTCATATAAACATTAATAGGTATCACTTAGGAAACTCACATCACAGGAAACTTTTACTGAAAATAAATATTCCATTATGAAGATACTTTAATAAGCTTCTTTTTATTGTCACCACCCACCCACACGCCTATCTAGAGGGTTCTTTGGAAAAGGTGGAAGGCTCCTAAACACAGGTGAATAGAGTGGTGTTTTAGAAGACTCGATCTTGCTGATTTCTTGGCAGAAGAAGCTGTTCCAGCAAAAGAGAGATGCAAGCTCGGGAAGGCATCTGCAATCCCCAGTGGGCACGTCTGGAAAAACACCTGGATTCCAGCCTCCTGTAGTTTGGCTCCGATCAAAATGAAAGACTGCCTGAGAGGAAAATTCATCCATCTGATGGGGGATTCCACAATCCGCCAGTGGATGGAATACTTCAAAAGCAGTATCAACAGTATGTCTCAATATAATTCACACCTCTTTCACAAACTGTGTTTTAATGTCAAGGGGAAAAAAAAAGAGTACAGGATATTCCTCCTCTATCATAGTTCAATAGTCTTAATCACAAACCATCAGCATTATTCCCAAAAAAAAATGTTACTATCATTCCCTAGAACCATGGTTGTTAAACTGTGGGTCATGACCTGTCAGGGGTCAAAAGAAATTGTCCCAGGGGTCACCGAAAAACACCTGCATATCATATATTTACATTATGATTCATAACAGTAGGAAAATTTCATTTATGAAGTAACAACAAAAATAATTTTTGGTTGGGGTTCTCTACAATATGAGGAACTGTATTAAAGGGTCACAGCATTAGGAAGGTTGAGAACCACTGATCTAGAACAACGTTCACTATCTCTAGTATTTGTTTTGAATGAAATAAATTAACGGACAGCAAGTATTTATCGCACTGCAAGGCACACTAACACATAGGCAGTACCCAGAAAGCAATAGCAATTGAAACTGTTATCACAAGTTAGTATCAGAGTTGAGGCTAGAATCTATCTGTAAGAAGCCTAGTTTTATTTCTATATTTACTAAGTCAAGAATACATCAACACTAAGTCAGATTATAATATTCTATGTAAGTTAAACCACATAATAAACCATCACTTCGTGCTCTTCTAGGTCCTTGGACCCTGGCTCTTGTCACTGAAGACAAGGTTGAGGCTATGACTGGCCTTGATATGAGACCAATCTTGTGTTCTCCAATTTAAAAAAATAATAAACTGGTCCCCTATAAAGGCTGAAATTGGCAGGGCCTGGGTTCTGAGTTGTAAAAGTATTCGAAACAGAGAGGACATATTAGATCATGATTTCCATTAAACAATCAGCCCCTCATAATTTTGTCTCTCTCATATAGAAAATCGAGATTCTAGTGAAACTTTATCATCACATGGTCTGATGTTGCAGGTTTCATAGGTCATGCAGCATCTGAGGTGAATGACCCCTCCCCCTCAGCATGTAGGTTACAGTGGGTCGAGATCACTGTATACTTTCTTAGGGAAAGAAGAAGAACAGAGAATACAGTTTTAGATTCCTGGAACTGTTACAGAGATTTGCTTGGCTTCTTTTGCACATAACATCAATTAATAGCCTTCCCTATCTACCCTCATATAAGGTCAGGGTATAGGTAACATGTCCTATGAGAACAGCATGGACACACTAATCGCATTATCTTCAGGTAAAGCTGAGTTCAAAGTTAAAGCCATCCCCTGCACAATTCAACCTGAATGATTCTGGAAGATTCATAAAGCACCTTGAGTTGTTTGACTATCAGATACCATAAGTTTATACAACTCTAAACACCAGATCTTTTCTCCTATATTTGTGGCTAGTTGATCTCTGTAACTGTATTCTCCTTTTGTTTTGGGATTGCCTGTTGGTTCTCAGCACTGAGGTCTGTGGATCTGCATGAGACTGGAAAACTGCAACATCAACTCGCTGTGGACTTGGATGAAAATATCAACATCCAGTGGAAAAAACATGGTTACCCCCTTATTGGGTCATTGGTCTACTCTGTCAAAGAGATGGAGTACATTGCACGGATAATTGACAGAACTGGAGGAGAGAAAAACACGGTCATTGTCATTTCTCTGGGTCAGCATTTCAGACCTTTCCCCATTGACCTCTTCATCCGAAGGGCCCTCAATGTCCACAAAGCTCTTCAGCGTCTTCTCCTGAGAAGCCCAGACACTATGGTTGTCCTCAAAACAGAAAACGTCAGGGAGATGAGCAGTGACGTGGAAAGACTAGGTGACTTCCATGGTTACACCCAGTACCTTGCCTTAAAAGATATTTTCCAGGACCTCAATGTGGGTGTCATTGATGCCTGGGATATGACAATTGCATATGGCACAAATGATGTCCATCCACCACAGCATGTGGTTGGAAGTCAAATTAATATATTCTTAAATTATATTTGCTAGCAAACACATAACTCTGAAAGTCACTCATTGAATTTCAAAGATGCAGTGAATTCTGCTGGCATGTCAGGTACCAGGATGTCCCAGTTAGTCCAAGGAGTTAGTCTTCACTCTGGTCCATGTGATCCACCCAGTTCAGCCTGACTAGGCCCTAGACTGGGCTTCTGCTTCAAGTTGAAGCTCAAAAGAATCAATGAATGGTCCTCCCTTTTTGATCAGGTCCTCTCTTTTCTGATCAGAGCCAACCTATTCTTCATCAATTAGAAGTTAGGATTCCCTTGGGTGAGTCCAGGAAAATTAAGTAATTTTGTATAATATTTTTAAAGGTCTTTGATTCAATTTGTAAATATTTTTGTGGAGACTTTTTATATCCATGTTCATCAGAGAAATTGTTCTGTACTTTTTTCTTGGTTGTGTCTCAAAGTTTGACATCGGGACAATACAGACTTCAGAGAAAGAGTTTGGTATCATTCCTTCTGTTTGTGATTAGTAGATGGGTATGAGAAGCATTGGTTAGATTTTCTTTAAAAGTTCATAGTATTCAGTACTGAATCTGTCCAGACCTGAACTTTTCTTTGGAGAGAGAACTATAATTATCACTTCAATCTCATAGCTTATTATGGGTCTATTTAAATTGTTTCTAATTCCTAGGTTTAGTTTTGATCGACCATATACATTTAGAAATTTATCTTTCTTCTAGGCTTTCTAGATTTTTGGAATATAAGATTTTGGATCATCCAGAACAAAATATGCATGGAAACACTACCATGAAACCTAATATTTTGTTACTTTAGAACAAAAATAAAATAAAATTTTTATATGAAAAACATATTAAAATAGGAATGAATAATGGAAAATATTTTAGTAAATTTTTACTCTTATATATTAAATATAAAATTATAGTTTGGTTTTTATAAATATATTATAAATTATATATTTTTGTTTGTTTGTTTGTCTTTTAGGTTTTGGGGTTTTTTTTGACAGGGATTCTCTGTGTAGCCCTGAGTGTCCTGGAACTTGTTCTGTATACAGGCTGGCCATGAACGCAGAGATCTGCCTTTCTCTGCCTCTTGAGTGCTGGAATTAAAGAAATATGCCACTATTGCCCACCTTTGTCTATTTAATTTCTCTATTACCTTTTTTTATGTGGAGGGGGATATATGCCACGGTGCGCGTATGAGGGTCAGAGAACATGGTTTAGGAGTCAATCCTTCTACCATTTGTGTTCCGATGATTGAACTCAGGTTATCAGGCTTGGTAGCAGATGCCTTTACCTACCCAGCCATCTCACTGACCCTAAATTATACCTTTTAGAAAGAATAAAGATGCTTAAAGAGATGGCTCAGACATTCAGAGCACTTGTTGCTCTCCCAAAGGGCCCAGGTTTGATTCCCAACACACACGTGGTGGCTCACATTTCGTGGGGACCCAACACTCTCTTCTGGCTTCCACAGGCATCACGCATACACATGGTACACAGACATATATGCAGAAAAAACACCAACCCACATAAAAAAATTATTGTGTTTTCGTTTTCTATTATTAATTAAACTTATTCATTAATTTTATATGTGACAACAGTTTTCCCCTCCCTCCTCTCCTTCTATTCCAACTCCTCCCTCTCCCCCCGCCCCACTTTTTAACTACTACTCTGTTTCTGTTCAGAAAGGGACAGGCCTCCCATTAGGTGTCAGGAAAACATAGCATATCAAGTTGAGGTAGGACTAAGCTCCACCCCTTGTGTTAAGGCTGGGCAAGGCGACCCAGTGTGAAGAATGCATTCCTGGAAGCCAGGCCAAGCTTTAGAGAAAGGCCCTGCTTCCACCACTAGGAATGCCACAAGTAGTTCAAGCTCCACGACTGTCACCCAGTAGAGGGCCTGGGTCAGAACCATGCAGGCTCCCTAGCTGTTGGTCCACAGCCTGAGAGCTGCTATGAGCCCAGTTTGGTTGTTTCCGTGGGGTCCCTTGTGAAGGCCTTGACCCTTCTGGCTCCCACAATCCTTCCCTCCCTTCAACAGGATGCTCTCAGCTTAGCCCAGTACTTGGCTGTGGATCTGTTTCCATCCGTCACTGGAAGAAGGCTCTCTGATGACAATTTGGAGTAGTCACCAATCTGATTACAGGAGATGGCCAGTTCAGGCTATGTACCCATAATGCTGGGATCTCAGCTGGGGTCATCCCTAGTATATTCATGGAAGTTTCTCTTGCACCAAGTTTTTACCTGATCCCAAGATGCACTCCACCCACATTTAAATGTCTCTTTCAATACTGTCCCCCTACCCCCAACCCAATCCCTCTTTTTCCCATCGACCCAGCTGCCAGTCTACCCAGGGGATCTCTTCTATTTCCCCTTCCCAGGGAAATCCATGTGTCCCCATCCATCATGTGGGCCCTCCTTGTCACCTAGCTTCTCTGGGGCTGTGGACTGTAGCATGGATGTTTTAAAACTCCAACTATTTTGCTTGCATTCAACAGTTATATCAAGGTGTCATATCAACTTGGTGGGGTCTTATAAAACAACTCTTCAAATAAAGAGTCTCATTTCCTTTTCTATCATTAACTACTGGCTCCAGTGATTTTTACATGGTAGGCTATCCCCCTACAGTCAAAGAAGAGTAGAATACCAGGCAAGGCTCCAAGATCTCAAAAGTCCTCTGATTATACTCTCCGTAGGACTGGTCTCTGTGAGATTGCAGCTGAATCATATTATCATCATCAGAAATAAGAGGTAACAGAGTGAAACACAGTGAGCTGGAGTTCAGAGACTTTGGTCCTGTTACAAGCCATAATTTGTAGACTTTGGATAAGTCAGGTCACCTTCTTAGGTCGTGATTTCCCAAATAAAGGAATTATTCTAAGATTCACAACCACAAAACTTTGCCTCAGGACACTGACTAGAGACACAGGATTCAGGAGAGGTGTCTGGGAAGCCCAGTTCCATTGTTCCTCCTCAACCAAAGTATTAGTCACTTTTACCTGTGTGTGTCGGTCTTCTGGGTGAGCCTTGGTTTGAAAAGGTAATTTGATGCCTTGGTACACTTTCAAAGCTATTTTGATTACTTACAATCAACAACATTGATTAGCATCACCTACACTTACATGTTAACATTTTTAACTGTTCATTTCAGTAGTTGAATTAGGCAATGAAATTTTCAGCAAGGCCTTCAGCACTACATTCTTCTTTAACTCTGCACTATTCACTGAACCTCAGAATCTGTAGAATCCTGACCTCCTCTCACTGCAGCTGGAAGGAAACCAGTACAGCAGAACACTTTAAATCTGTATCCTGTGTCCTTAGGGATGATACATTCTCTCAACATCTGCCTGGGACTCATTGTTCACAGTCCAGTGTCTAGTGTACACTCATGGGGATCAAAAACAATTATTCATGCCCTACCGTGTTCAGACACTGTTCTAATCTTTAGAAATATTGTGAGGGTTGGAGATTTGGCTCAGCAATTAACAGTACTAACTCCTCTTGCAGAAGACCTGGTTCAGCTCTCAACACTCACATCAGGTCACTCACAACTGCCTGTAACTCTTAGTGATCTGACACCCTCTTCTAAGGATGCCTGCACACCCATGGTGCACATAAACTCATGTAGACACACACACATATACATGAATAAGATGTTTTTACTTTTTAGCAAAAAGAGAACTTGAAATATATACCATCAGACATTACCAACTAATGAAGGGACAGGGTAACTAACAAAAAACTACAAAACATTATGTAATGATTAAAAACAAAGTATTATGTCATTCTTGAGTGCATGACCCCATTCTTCAGTTTCTAACTAGCACAAATTGGACTCAGTGAGTTTAAAAAAAAGAGACATGAAGCTAGGAAAGGGTGGGTGAATTGGGGAGAAGTTAGGGGAAAAGTGGGGGTAAATGTGACCGGAACACATGTATCCATGTATGAATTAATAAAAATATTACTGTGTTAAAGTATATTGTGGAATAGTGTGGCAGAGTGTTATGTGGCATTGTCTAATGAGTTAGTGTCTTAGAGAAGATTTCAAGTAGTCTGGAAAAGAGGCAGCCATTAGAGAAGTGGTAAAGAGAGACCCTAGGGAAGGAGGACTCCCTGGTACCTAACTTTTGTAGCTAATACACAGGCTACTGGGGAAATTTGTCACCAGTAGTTCTACCTGCCTAAAGACTCTGCCACACTCTCAACCTGCTGGTTAACAACTGCCCACTGGTAGAGAACGGGGCATCCCATCTTTGTGTCTTAGCGATTGTGGTGTTGATCACCTGGGAGCAAAATATAAATGGGTGGTGTTGAGAAAGGCAAGAAGATCTTTGTTCAGAAGTGTGCCCAGTGCCACACTTTGGAAAAGGGAGGCAAGCATAAGACTGGACCAAATCTCCATGGTCTGTTTGGGAGGAAGACAGGTCAGGCCACTGGATTCTCTTACACAGATGCCAGCAAGAACAAAGGCATCACCTGGGGAGAGGACACCCTGATGAGGTATTTGGAGAATCCCAAAAAGTACATCCCTGGAACAAAAATGATCTTTGCTGGAATTAAGAAGGGAGAAAGGGCAGACCTAATGGTTTATCTTAAAAAGGCTACTATTGAGTAATTCTACTGCCTTATTTATTACAAAACAAATGTCTCATGGCTTTTAATGTGCCATAATTTAATTCATACATCAAAATTCAGATCATAAACGACTAACAATGTTTTTGTTGGGACAGTCCTGATTTAAGTAAAACTGACTTGTAGTAAAGTGGATATGATCTTTTTAAAAAATAACAATTCCAGTCATATACTATCACAGCTCTCCCTTTCTCAAGATCAAATTGTACTTATTAAAGTTCTACTTTCCACAAAGATGGGGTGTCACCTGAAACCTATTGAATGGTTTTATGCTTAAATTTATATAAGTAGGAATATGAATATATTTAAACACTAGGAAAATTCTATCACTCTCTCAGAAACAAGAAGACTCACCTGTGTTTCAGTTTGTATTCACTGACCTGTTACAGGCAATGGAACGTCAGGTAGCAACTGTCTATTCTTGACTTGATGATGTCATTTTAATTAGAATTCCCTGTCAAAGGATGCTGCCTTTTACCATTGAAAGGTACTATGTATAATATCAAATAAAGAGTATTTAGCACTTAAAAAAAAAGAACTGCCCACTGGTGAAGTCATGGTGCCACAAACAGACCTGCTCCACAAGAAGGAACTTCTGATACTGTGAGCCAAGGCAAAGACCTGTGGCTAGGGAGAGCTGAGGACCTCATGAAGGAACAAAGAGGTTAGTGACATCCTCTCAACTATACTCCATCTTCAGGATCCGAACTGGAGGTTTAGGTTAAACAGAGGGCAGAATAGTATACATAGCTAAGAAATGCCAGTCAAGATAGGGCCCCACCCACCCTTATCTGGGCTTCAATGTCTCATGTATGTGGCCTGATAAGCTGTCAAAACTATGTGAAATATTTTTCTGGAAGATACTGTCTTTCTCTGGATGGTACCACCTTTTCTTATCCCAGCATGAGGTTCCTGGAGAACTCCAATTTCTTGGGAACATTTGTTGCTGCAGTCTGACAGCTAAAAGGAAAAAGAAAAGGCACAGAGTCCCTTTCAAATACCTGCATATTCCAGCCAGGATCCTTACAAAATTGCCTTTGAAGATGCTGTTCCTAGCCATAGATTGCTAGTGCCATTAACCTGCAGCATGGAGGGAAACCTCGTTTCTGCAGAGGGTGGTGGTCACTGCAGACACTCATCCAGTCAAGCTGGTTATGACTGGTGACTTTAAAGGTGGCCCAACACTCAGTCATAAATGGAAGAAAATAATCAGAAATCTGTGTCACCACCTCCAAGACAAGGCAAATTTTTCACTCTCATTTTCCTGTACAGGTAAGGTAAAGAAACAGTCTTTTAAGTCAATAACTATTATAGGCCATTCTTTGTGTTACAGAGATGGCAAGGGCATCCCAGTCTGTAGGGAACCCATAGGCTGAATTACTTTATTAATATCTCTCAGATCTGTCAGCATTCTCCAATTACCAGACTTTTTTAAAATAACAAATACAGGACAATTCCAAGGACTGGTAGATGCTTCAATGTGTTGAGCATTTAACTGCTCTTGAACCAGATGTTCTAAAGCTTGTAGCTTCCCTTTTGTCAAAGGCCATTGACTAACCCAGACAGAAAGGTAAGGTGTTAGTACTTTTGAGAATTCAACAGCAGCTGTGCTCTGTTTATGTACAGGATGAACGGTTGGTGACTCTTTTTTATAACATGTTATGATATTATACCTAGAAACATGCATTGGTCTGTATTCCCTTCCTGAGATTGCAGGAATTTTAATCTGGGTATTCCACTGCTGTAACAGATCTCGGCCTCAAAGATTCACTGCTACATTTGCACATATGGCTTCAGCCTTCCTCTCTGTCTTTCTGGCCCTATGCATTCAACCCATCACAAACTCTGTTTTATCTGTTTTATCTGAGATAGGGTTCCAATCCCTAGAAATTGGACATCTACCTCTTGAAGAGGCCTATTTGGATGCCATGATTTTGGTGTAATTATAGTCACATCCACACCCATGTCTACCAGGCCCTCCAGAACAATGCCATTAATTCCAACTCTAAGCTTTGGTTTTTGTCCATTTATGGAAGTCTGCCAAAATATTCATTTTATTATGTTCTTTGGAACTTTTGATTCATCTACCAGAGCTGTTCTTTCATCCAGTGCAGTATCACTCTTTACATTAGACACTGGGTTATTTAATTGTCCTGGAGAGGAATTTCCTTCACAGTGGCTGGAAATATTTGGACCACGTTCAATTTGGGGGCCTGCAAGAGGCCACTTGAGGCATTTCCTGGTAGTAAAGGGTTGCATCTTATATCTATTATTGATCTGCACTCATCGGTCCAATGTCAGCCTTTGCCACATCTTCTACATAATCCAGAAGGTTGGGGTCTCCCATTTGGGTTATTTCTAGAAGGAATATTACTTCTAGGAGCAACCCAGACACAGTTTTTACTTATATTACCTGATGTACCACATTTAAAGCATTTGGTACCATGGGGCCTTCTTCCACCTCTGGGAATTGCCTCTCGTATCCAAGCCTCATTACTATAGTTAAGAGACTCAACACCATTAGTATACTGAGTCCTATCTTCTGAAGGAGCTGATCTGACCTTCAATGGTGTAAATATTCTTTTCCATTCTGCATTAGCATTGTTAAATGCCAAGGATTCAGTTAATATTTGTCTTAATTCTTATCTGACATAGCTTTTATTATAGCTGTGGTTAGCCTTTGTAAAAAATCAGTGAAAGGTTCTGTGGTACATGGAATATCTTTGTGTATATCTCGGTTGGTTTTCCTGGTTCTGGAACTTTTCCCAAGCATTTAGAGCTGTTGTATTGCATAGGGATATTGTATGCTCATCATAAGTAGCTTGTACATGTACATTCCTATCAGCAAAACGTCCTTCACTAAGAATTTGATCTTGGGAGATCTCAAAACCTTACCCTGCTGTTCCAGGTTCATAGCCTCCTCTCTCAACCAGCTTTTCCATTGCAACTGCTGACTATATTCTACAACTGCTGAGATCAACTGACTCTAGTCATCTGGTATGTTTCTATTTGAGGTAGACCATGAATTTAACATCTGTCTTACAAGTGTTGAGTGTATGCCATACGTGACTACCTCTTCCTTCATATGTTTAAAAAAAATTTCTCATCAGAATAGGTTGTAATATATATTCTACATATGGCTCAGGGTGTCTATCATCTGCTGGCTTCTCATGGATGATGACAGGATAAGCCATTGTATGAGAGCGATTTGGAGAAATTATGACTTGTATGATATTGTCCTTCTGCTTATTAGGTCCCTTGTCATATTTACTGAGAGTTCCTTCTAGGGCTTGCATACACGCACCTAGAGTCTGTTCTAGCAAATGAACCTCCTTTGTTTTAAGAGATTGCAGAGATTTCATGGACTCAAGCAACCTTTTATATTCTTCTGAAACACATGATTCCATAGACCTTATTTTATCAGTTAATGATAATCTGTCTTCCTTATAAAGTGTCTTAGTAGCAACAACTTCACCCTAGAGAAGGTTATTGTTCTATCCACTAAGTACTCATATTTATTATCAATAAAATCAATCCTGGCTATACATTTATTATTAATGGACTGAAGTTTCTGTAATAAAGATTCATGTAATTAGCAGATTCCAAACTAAGGAGTCTGTTATTTAAATCTTTATTATGACCTTGTAACTCCTGGTTAGCGGATTCCAGAGAAAGTATCTTTTTATGTAAGCTTTCATTGCTATCTTGTAAAGCCTGTATCAGTCCAAATAATGACTCACCTATGTTATTATTATTAAAACAGTATTTGAATGCTGTGTGACTATTACAGTAAATGCCAAAATGGTGCATGCCAGTTACACCCTGGGAAGGTCGTATATTTCCAGGAAAATGTCATTCATAATACAGGCAAAAAAGTTTTTAAATTCTTGTGAAGTAGTATTTTCTGCCATATTATATGAAATATTCAAAAATTTGTTAATCATTTTCAAGGTGTAAAATTATCAAGTTCTCTTACCTGAAATGAAACACTGCCTTGCTTGTATTACCAGCCTTGCAATGGTTTTGGGGTGTAGTAGCGCTTTTCAGCCAGGAGGTGTCATGAGTATAGTGCTAAAGAAGGTTCTGCCGAAGACTTTGGCTGGTGGCAGCTGCAGGCAGAAACGGAGTGTCCCATGTGCATGTGTGGAGGAGCAGCAACAGCCGTGCAGTGACAGCAGATCTTCCTGAGTCTCCCAGGAGCTTCCGGCCAGGCTTGGCTTTTGTGGCTTCCTTGGCCTCTCAGCGCTCTTCTTTCAGGCAAGAGGCCGGCATATGGGGTTGAGTGGCCTGAGCTCAGGTCATGGAGAGCTCCAGGCAGAGAAGACAATGGTGGTCGCTCTGGCCCAGAGCCCTCAGCACCTGTGAGCAGCCACGGAGGAAGTGTCTTTGGGGAGCCAGCCAGGCAGCAGTGTGGGTAGGCCATGCCTCCTCATCTATTCTATCTGGGCAGCCTCTGACTGGCTTCAGAGAGATGGTAGAAGCCATGGGCTCAGACAGGAGCCAGCACAGGCTCAGCAGCTGCACATCCCACTGGGCCAGGAGCAGTGGGGAGGGGGGAGGAGGCTCATTAATGGTGGCTCTCACCTGTCTGGGGGCTAAGCTTGCCACAGGATCAGACTCAGCCACTCCTTTTGCATCAGGAATGGAACGAGACTACCATAGAGGTGCTCCCTGGTGCCTGTGTGTCTAGTGGTTGGCTATCCCGAACCTGGAGGGCATTGCACATGCCCTCAAGCTGGGAAAGAGGAAGGAAATGAAGGAGCAGTACCCAGTGTTTATGGGCTGAATGGATAAGCACTAGGTACCCAGGAGAAGCAGGAATTTTAAAAGAGACAGAGAAGAAAAGAGACAGGGAAGTGTGGAAAGCGTGCCACAAGAGTCACAGAGGAGGCTGAGGGTGGAGGCCACCTGAGCTTTTGGAATTTGCCCCAAATGAGTGCCAGATAATGTGGGAATTTAACAAGGCAACTCCAGGTAGCTTATCTGGTAGTTAAAAGGAGGTTTATGTTGGGGTAACCTACAGCCACTAAAAGGGGTTGGTTACAGGATCCAGGAGAGGAGATGTGCAGTCCAGAATGGTTCTCTGGGGAACTCTGACTTGGTCTGCAATCCAGCATCCAGGATCATGAGGAGCCAAGTGGGCCAACATATACAGATCTCAGGTCTTAAGGGCTCCTGTCTTGGCCAAGCCCCAGGGGCAGGTCCTAGGTAGGTGTGGCAGTTACCGGCTGCCTCACTGGGGCAGTGCTTCAAGGTCACAACTGGAACAGCTGTGCACTACATTTCTCCCTTGCTTTCCTCCCTCTAGACCCTCCCATATATCCCTCCTTGCCCTTTTCCAAATGCATGGCCTTCCTTTTTTTTTATTAAGTACTGTCATATTCCTAAATATAACCTGCTTAGTCTAAACACTGTTGCATTTTGTAATTGTGTAACTGTAGCTGGAGTT